AAAAAAAATGAAAATGAGATAATCACTAACTTAAGAATCTAGTTCTGTTTATAAATTACAAGTATAGAAATTTATACAAGTTTAACTGTGTTCTGTAGTTCTGGATATATCTTATACATTCTAAATATTTTGATTTATACTCTGAAGCTGTAAGTGCTAGCATTTCTGCTTTTCCATTTGAATAAATTTTAGGAAAGAAAAACCTATCACATATTGGTATTTTTTGCCATATTCAAGGTGGTTCTAGACTGAGTTGTCATATTTAGGTATGGTATTTTAGGTTTATTCTTGCTTGAAAAAAGTGCTAGTTTTTTCAGTGCACTTTTTCTTTTTTTCTAAAAAAAAAAATTGTTTTTTAGCAATGGTTTTAGTCTAGTCTGTCCTTTGGTCGAAGGAGGAATGTCCTGTTAATGTTAAGTGGAAAGGACTTTATATAAAAGGGAAGTGCCTGGTAAGTATGATGAAGATCTTGTTAACAGAATTTTTATTGGTAGCAAGTAGTTGAATACTAAGGAACTACTAGTGTATTCAGAGGAATGTCTCGCTGTCCTTGCAACAATTTTTCTATTGTTTGCCTAACTGTTTAATTAGGAGTATTTTACTTCAAGTTGTCTGTGGTGTTTACAGATATTTACAAATGTTACCTTTTATAGAGAAAATCACCCAAACTTGTGTTTAGAGTAAGAGACCTTAGTTATATTGTCCTGATAATTTTCTTCTTAGCGGTTTCACTTACATAAGAATTTTTACTATAACGTGGAACAACTTCAGTTTCTGACAGAAATGCTCATTCTTGCCTGTGTTTTTTTTTCCCCACATGATTTAAAAAGTAATGTCAAAAGATTAAGCTTTTATCACCTGTTGCATTGTTCCAGGCTATTCAAAAATATATCTAGCTTCAAAACAGGTTAGTTAATTTGTGGGCTTGGGGGTTAGAACCAGATACCTGAGTGCCAAGTACTTACTCTCTCTGAAAGGTATTGCTAGGAACCCCTTTTTCCTCTCTTTGAAACTTCAAACTTTAGAGGATAATTAGTGAATTTCAACTTCCTCGCTGTTATGAAGAGCCCAAGTTAAAGACTAAGCTGTGCTTTTGACTGTTAAAGCAAGTGTTATTTTCTTTTTTTTCCTAGAGTAAAAGCCATAAAACAGGTGTACTAGTAGAGAACTCAGCTATTTTTGTTATCACTTGGTCTACTGAGCCTTTTAAAACAGACTGAGATATTTCTGAGCTTTTGTGTGAAGACTAGGGATAACCTTAAACTGGTTTTTAAGTTTACTTACATGTTTTAAGCTGTTAACCCTAAAACCTGTGAAAAACATCATCTAATTACTTTAAAATTTGATACTAGAATTAAAATTGGAAAACCTTCTAATCTAGCATAGGAAACTACTGCAGTGGCATCTAATACTTGAATCTGTGAACTGCTGTCAGCCCATGAAAAAAGTTGTAATGCAGAACAAAGTCTAATATTCCTGGTTAATATGATTCAGTGGCTAGCCACAAGGTGAATGTATTTCAGATGCTTCTTACTACTGCTAAGGAGTGCTGTATGAGGGGTTCTGGTAAACAGCTACATCCTCCTGGCATACAGCAAAAGAGTAAGGCTTGGGAGGATTAGGTTCTTCTTTCTTCGAAGTTCTGGAACTGGTCCATGTGGCAGTGACTTGTATCTTACAGAATTTGACCTGCCTCAATAATAGTTGAGGCCTTAATTCTTTTTTTCCCTTCCATTACTGTTTTTTCCTGTCCAGCATCTGGACAGGTAAAAATCTTGTTGTGAAATGTGTGTGGGGGGGGGAGCTGTTTTGTTTAATGCTTTAATTTCAAATAGCTTTGATAAACTTGTTTGCAAGTAGAAGGCCTTCTAAGAAAGCCTAAATAAGCAGCTCTCGTGATGAAGGCTTACCGAGGTGGCCTTGGTAGATAAAAGGAGAAGGAATTGCAGAAAACCTGTCTGTGGTGACAAAATGGAGGAATATTAACTGGTAGGGGCAAGTTTGTCCTTGGGTGTTTTTTTTGTAAGTGTTTTTTTCTTTCCCATTCCCCCCCCCCTCCCAAATTGAAATAACTGAAAAAAAGAAAAGTCCAAACTTTAAAAAGTATTTTGTCAAGGATTTGTGTTCTGAACTAGCATGTCTTGGATTTGGCTCCATGAAAGGGAGCATGAGCTATGTCAGAATTATGTTTTCTTTTTGGATGGGTGGGAGGTGGGGTTCAACAACACCATTTACGTCAGTGATGAACTTTGCCCCATGAAGCTTTTGGGGATGTGGGGTTAGTAAAACCGCTGGTTTCAGCTGCATCCTTCTCTGGATCATAAACTTGAATTCAATCTCAGGTCCTTTCCAGGAAGACAGACGCTAAATACTAAAATAGTGGTAAAGAAAACTACCAGGCAGACGGTTCAGCTTTGTACATTTAAAGTTGCCAAAGATGGAGCAGCATGCTCAGTAATCATACTTCTTGGCAGCCGTAACCTAAAGATGTCAGAGAGGTTAGAGTTGAAAATAAAGACCTCTCAAGCTAGATGTCTTTAAATGACTCTCTCGATTCAGTCAGTCAGTCTTGAGGAAATAGTTGCATGGAGACAAGTGGCAGATGGTTCCTTCGTGGGTTTCTGACTCAGTTTGCCTAGTCTTAACTGCCGATTTGCTAATTATCAGAGAAAAGCAAACTCCTTAAAGTTAAAAAGGAGACAACTTCGATTTAAATGAAAACTTCTTTGAAACCGTGAGCTTTTATTCATTGCTTGAGCCTGACTTGCTGTGTAGGCTGATCTTAGTGCAGAAACTTTTCTCCTGTATGCTTAAAGGCTGTCTACATTGCTTAAGAAACACTGCCCTCAACCACATGTTACTGATCTGGTCACATTAGGGTTTCGATAAGGTTAACTCTCTGGGATGCTTGATCTTGTTGCTTTATGCAGTAGTCTGAAATGGATTGTTTGGATGGAAGTCTGGTAGCTGTTAACTTCCATCTTTAGATGCTGCAGTTCTATTACAGTTACTGATCTAGCTAGTCTTTTTAATAGGTTTTATGTCACTGTTCTATAATGTTTTAATGTGAATACATTTGAAGAACTTAAGAATTGTGTCAGGAATGCACACATTCAGGCACCAAACTGTATTTTTTCTCTTGAAATTTAAAAGCGTCAACTATTGTGGTGCCCAGCTCCTGTAACTGTCTTTACCAGTGTTGTTCCTGTTCCCCATTGTCGCTAAAAAAAAAATGGGGGTGTCTGCTGCCATCTTACTAGACAGCTCTACCTCTGGGTGTCCTATTAAGATGCTTTGAAATCCTGAATGCTGAGATGAAGCAGTAAATGCCTTTTAGGATGTGAGAAGACTTAGTTACGTAAAAAATCCAAGTATTTGTTTTAACTCCCAAGTGCTCAGGTCACCAAATGCTTTGGTTTTGTGAACATCTCTTTAAGATCTGACAACTTTTCATTTAAAAAAACTTCATTTTTGAAAGCAAATACGTGATGACCTGGTCAGACTGGAAGCTAGAAGAGGGTTTAAATTCTCAGGTGTCAACCCTGGTTGGAAGGATGGGTGGTCATTCCTGCAGAAGATGACTAGGGAGAGAAGATCTGTTTTGAGGGAGGGATGGCCAGAAAGGCACCACAGTAATTCTCTCAACATTTGAGTACTTTAAAAAGTGCTCTGAATAAAAATCCATATTTTGAATTGATTTTGAATCTGTGTTTCAATTAAAGTCTAATATAAGAATGATAATGCTGATTCTGCCTTGAGGTTATACGTTCGTTCTTTTTAGAAAGAAGCCTATAATGGGATTAAAGTAGTGTTAGAGAAGGTTTATCCTCTAGTGGGGATTAGGTAAACATGCTAGGTAGCTGCTGTGAGCTTCCCTGGCCTTGTTGCACCGTGCTGCCCTGTTATGGATGGGTTAAGAATGAGTGGGGAGAGGGAGAGTGTAGAGTGTTTAAAGAGGCTCTGCCAAAGCAAAGCTTGATACGCGTATTACTAATGCATTTTTAAACTTACCTTAACGGGAGTCTGCTTTTTCTTTCCTGTTGTATTTCTGGTTCCAGAAGTTTTGCATAATTATTTTTATAGTTTAGAGGACTTGTGAGTCTGTGATTACATCCTGTTCAGTCTACACTTTTGTAGCTGTTAAATTGGTTGCCTGTGGCAGGCAACTTTGCTGCTCAATGGGACATGCCTCTATTCCCCAATATGGGCAAAAGAAGCTGTTTATACCATCTCTGACAAGCATGCCTATCTGATGTTTCCCTAGCATTCTAAGAATGTTTTCCAAGTTAGCCTTCTAGATGTCTGGTGAGTGTCTGATATCTTCTAGGGATACCAAATGTGTCTTAAACATCTTCCTCCATGTAAACGCAGGAGCGGAGCATTCATCCTGCACTGCAAGTTATATTTTGGAGTTGAAAAGCAGCAATTCGTAACTGCTCGTGTAGGTTACAGAAGAACTGATCTCAGTTTTTAAGAGCTTAGCTGTAATATCGACTATTCTTGCAATGAATATCTGGAATGTAGCTTAGTTGGTATAGCAGCAACCAGATAGACACTTAAAGAATAACTTAGGACTAACTGGAAGAAAAGGCTTTGTAGAGATAAGTAGCTTTCTTTTGCCCTTTGCTGTGAGGGGCAAAGTAAGAGAACTGGTATTTCAGGAAAAAAAGCAACAGTAAGGCAGTTCCAACAATATTGTTTCACTCTTAAGCGTTCTACCAGTTTTCGAAGCAAAGGCTGATAACAAGCTCTGATTAGAGGAAAAGCCAATTGTACTGTTTCTTTGGCAGTGGAAGTTAACGAGCAAAGCAGAGAGATACTTTTGTCTCCTACCATGGCTTTAACAGTTGTGTCAGGTAACAATCATAAACTGCGCAAGCAGGTTTGAGATGGCTAGAAGCAGTTTAGGACTCCGTCAGGAGGGTAAGAAAGCTTCAATATCTCTTATCTTAGTCTTGGGAGATGGCCTTTGGGAGAAAAAGGTGTTCTAAAAGTGTCCTTCCCTAAATTTTTTCAGGAGGATAATCTGCAGCAATGAGCAGCAACGAGTGCTTCAAGTGTGGACGTACTGGCCACTGGGCTCGGGAGTGCCCTAGTGGAATTGGTCGTGGTCGTGGGATGAGAAGCCGTGGCAGAGGTAACTTTTTTTTTTTTTTTTTTTTCCTCCTGTTTGTACAGTAAAATCTCTCCAGATGACTGCCCTGAATATTATCCAAAAGAGGTTTTGCTGGGTTTGGATCAAATAGTTACAATAGTTAGAACTTATCTATAGCACAGTGGTACTAAATTTTATCATTCTTACCTCACTGTGAGAAACTTGCTATTTTTTGAAGTTCCAAGGATTGCTGAGGGACAACCCGACTTGTAAGTTGAATTGTCAGTGTCTTAATTCTTACCTTGATCCCTAAGTCTTTTTTCTTTCTCCTGTTACCCATTTAAAGCAGGCTTCCAGTTCATGTCTTCATCTCTCCCGGACATCTGTTACCGCTGTGGTGAGTCTGGCCATCTTGCCAAGGACTGTGATCTTCAGGAGGATGGTAAGTATCATTAAATTTTACATCTCCTCAGTTGCGTGCACAGAGCCCTGTCGTTGAAGGGAGCGGTATAATGCAGCGATCATAATCCACCGAAAACAAACTAAATATTTCCTTCTGTTAGAAGCATGCTACACTTTAGTCTACCAAGGTTTTATAGTCTTGTTTGGTATCTTTTTCTTATTGTGGAAGCCTGCTATAACTGCGGTAGAGGTGGCCACATTGCTAAGGACTGCAAGGAGCCAAAGAGGGAGAGGGAGCAGTGCTGCTACAACTGTGGCAAACCTGGCCACCTGGCTCGTGACTGTGACCATGCAGATGAGCAGAAGTGCTATTCTTGTGGAGAATTTGGACACATTCAGAAAGACTGCACCAAAGTGAAATGCTATAGGTAAGAACTGATGAAAAATGCAAGTGTGGAATGCACCCTCACAGATAGATGTGTTTTGTGCCTAATTCCAGTTAGGAGGTTTAAACTAAATCTAGTAAAAAAACAGGTTTTTTTCAGACTACTCTTTACTTTTTAGAAATTCAGAATTTACTTGTTCAGAAATAAGCCTGAGCAAATAAGAAATTGGAGTTGATCTGTTGAGAAACTCTTCCTAGCCCTGGTAGATACAGAGACTATCCGTAAGGATTCTGGAACACTGAAGCCTTAAACAGAACCAGTATTGTATGAATTTTAATTGGGTGCTTTGGCAGATTGGGATGGCTTTTCTGAGCAGCTCTTTCATTTGCTTTTCCAGGTGTGGTGAAACTGGCCATGTAGCCATCAACTGCAGCAAGACCAGTGAAGTCAACTGCTACCGCTGCGGCGAGTCAGGGCACCTTGCACGGGAATGCACAATTGAAGCTACAGCCTAATTATTTTCCTTTGTCGCCCCTCCTTTTTCTGATTGATGGTTGTATTATTTTTCTCTGAATCCTCTTCACTGGCCAAAGGTTGGCAGATAGAGGCTACTCCCAGGCCAGTGAGCTTTACTTGCCGTGTAAAAGGAGGAAAGGGGTGGAAAAAAATCAACTTTCTGCATTTAACTACAAAAATGTTTATGTTTAGTTTGGTAGAGGTGTTATGTATAATGCTTTGTTAAAGAACCCCCTTTCCGTGCCACTGGTGAATAGGGATTGATGAGTGGGAAGAGTTGAGTCAGACCAGCAAAACCCTCTCTGGGTTACGTGAAAGTGATCCTATGCAGGAGGAAAGAAATTATGGAAGTGTCTAAACTTCCTTGTAACTGTAATTTTATTACAATGGCCTTGGATTGTCTGACCTCAGTAGCTGTTAACATCAAGTAATATCTGTATCGGGCCCTACCTAGAGCATATAGCTGAGTGGGAGTAAATAAAACAAACAAGATGCACATGTCTGTTAATGGCCATGAGAGAGAGAGAGAAATCAGGAATAAACTTAAAAGTAACAGTAATATAGTCAATGAATGTTCATGTTGGAGATGCAGAACGTAATGGGGAGCTTTTGAATAAATATCTCAAACTAAATCTGAAACCCAGACATCAGTGCTCATAGCATATACAATTTGGAGCTATTCAGGAGTTGCAAATAAATGCATTTTCACAGAAATCAAGATGTTATTTTTGTATACTATATCACTTAGACGACTGAGTTTCATTTGCTTGTAATCAGTTTTTAAAGTAAGAGGGTAAAAGCAATTGAAGTCCTAGAACATAGAAAATGTAATTTTAAACTATCAATAAAGCTGGAGGAGGAAGGGGAGTTTGGCTAAAGTTCCTTTTGTTTATTTTTGTTTCTCATGTACACAGTGCAAAATAACATATTAAAAAGGGGTATATGGAGGTGTAAAATTTAGTTTGGACTTTTCTTTTGTACTGTCTTAAGTTTCCATTTGTAGCATCAAGCTCTGAAAAATGTTAATTATGCAGTCTTCTTCTCTGCACATATATTCATGTGAATGGATTGGGTGTTCTTGCACTGTGCTTGTTGCTTCATCTCTGCTATTGCAGTTAAAGCATCACTTTCACTCTGAATTTTTAAGACATACATGAATAAGATATGATACAGATCTCCTAGTAGATCTGGAGTAGCTCAGGGATCTGACAACAGCACTTCTCCCTTCACACATCATTACACTAATAGCTATCATTAAAATGTCTAGCATTTATACTTCCTATGTGCAGTATGTTCAGCTTCCTGCTTGCTTGGTAAACAGTAATTCAAATTGCACAGATAAAAAGGGAGCTGACCATAAGTACAGAGTGTATCATGAGCAAAAAATCTAATAATTTGTCACTCAAGAAATCTTAGTTTGTAAGAAAATGCCACCAAGGCAGGAGTTCTTGCCTGATCTATGCTTAACAAATTAGACCCCTGTAGAAAGTAATCCATGGGGACTTGAGTTTTTCTAATGACCTGTACAGCTGATGTGAAAGGCAACTTAGAAACTTCAGCTGGAGTACCTGATGAACTTCAAGATGTCTCTAAAGAAATCTAGCAGGTAAAACTGAACAAAGTGTGTGGGTTGTCTTGTTTTTTGTTTGTCTTTTTTATCAGAAATTGTATCCGGTAGTCTTGTTTTCCCTGTTGCCCTCACAGATGAGGAAGCAAAAGGAGTGCCTTATTTACCTTCAACGCTTTTTTGCAGGTTATGTATGTCATCGCAATTGGAATTGGCTGTAGCAATAGTGTGGTTAGCTAAATGTAGTTGTATCCGACTCCGGGGGAAAGGAATAGTAGATTGCTAACTTGCTGGAGTAGTGGTGTAAAATGAAATTGGCAGTGTTAACCGGTTGTTTCAATATGTGTGTTCTGATCAAACAGTTCAGCAGTGAAGTAGCTTTTTTTACTTTTTAACTGGCAAGGCAGCTAAATGTGGTACAATCCTGCAGTACTCCTCTGGAAGTTAGTGGTCTTACACAAACTCTTTGTACCTGTTTTGTTTCCAGTCAACTGTTGTAGAGCACTGAAAAGTATAGAAAGATAGCAAGAACTCCAAGTTGATTAATCCAGAAACTCACAGTGGTGAGTGAATAGAAGGAAGCTTGTGAAAGTGTAAAGGCAGGCAAACTTCCTGATCACTTTTTGCATACGCAGGTTCAGGAAGCTTGGTAGCAAAAGTCTGTCCAAAAAAATCAAGGTGATAGTAGTTACCCTCTGCTATTAGGAGAGCTCTGATTAGGTTGTTACTGTTCAGTAGAAGCTGCTGCTACTACTACTAGCAATTTAGAGTTAGAGCTTAATAAAAGTGACTTACAAAAGAACTTTTTACAGCCTGGGGTTCAATGTTCAAAGCTGGCAATAAAAGCTCAGGCATAGCATTAAGCACCCCCGCCCCCGGCGAAAGAGCTCAGATCACTTGACTGAGAACGACTGACACGAAATATTCAAGGTTTGGGAAGGCTAAGTTGATGATATTTCAAAGACAAAAAGTAATGAGAAGGCTCTTAATTTGAATCATTTCATTTTTCAGAGAGTATTCATGGTCTGCCTTGCCTAAGCAGCAAAGAACTAGTATTGCCATTTGTCTGTAGAATGTAGAGATGCAAATGCCTTGGCCTTCAAATAAAATTATCTCAGTTTAACACTCATTAAAAATTGAGGCTCTGACTACAAAGACCGGAGGATCTGAACCTTAAGTTACTGAAGTTGTAGCTTTAAAAAAATGCTGTTTTAAAGGCCTATATTCCTTGTGATTTTGATGGTCTATTATTTGCTCCTCTAGAATTCAGCAACTTAAATTTATTGTTATGAAGATCCTGTTGTTTTTTTTTTCTGTTTGGAAAGCTTTTTTTTTTTTAACAAACATTATCTCAAAGACAAGACGTGTGTGTATATATAACTTCAAAATTAAGAATAGTATTCTAAGGAAGATAACTGATCCCAGCCATCTTTCTGTAGAGAACAGTTTACAGTTGGAGATGTGTGAGCTGGCTAATGGGAATACTTCGGCATACTTCTGCCTTAAGTTCTGCAGAAGTCTATGAAGCGGTGGTCTGCTCCTGTCCTGATTCATTATCATCTCTCGAGTTTATAGGGCAGTGTACTGTGTGACAGAAACTTTGTTTTTACAAGATTATTAGGAAAAAAGCAAAAACAGGGTTTCTCTCCCCATAGACCACCCTAAATTGTTCTTTAGTTACTTAGCTGCTTTGCTAGATATCTAGTCAGATGAAGAGTGAGCGTGCATACCCTTCCTCATGATTGGGGCATTCCCGAATTACATGGGGAAGCACAAGCACCACAGCAGCCCAGTTCCTGGCAGAGGCGCTTCAAAGGCTTTTTGGGTGAGCTGATACAGTATTTGTACCTTCTTTGGTAGTTTGGTCTGTTCTTGTTGCTTGTTTCTGGGCAGGAATTTCAATCCTATCAGAAATTAAAAACATTTACTTTTTTGCAGATTTCATTATTTCTGTCCTGGTGTATGTGGCATCTGTGCTGCTCCTGCTTTAGCTGCTTCTGACATATGCCAGGGCTTGGTTGAGCCTTGTGCCACCAGTCACTTGAGCTATGTTCTCCTAACAGCAAATGAGGTCTGTACCTTGCATTTTTATGGAAGAACAAAGCAATACCTTTGAAGTCCAGTTATTTAGAATGGAAAGTTACTTGGCCATGCATTTTGGAAATCACTGAAGGTGTAATCTGGAAATTTGCAGTCCTCAGAGTGGTAGAGTTATGTTTACAAATTGTAGTTTTTAGTAGTGTATATAATCATGTCACATTATCAGCTTTTGGTGCATGATGATGTGCAGAATGCAGCTTTTCCCACCCTGTGAATAACTGAATATCCTGTTGACTGCACTGCTTTGGCCAAGGAGTGTGTAATTCCAGGTGGATGTTGCAGCTGCCTCTCTGGGTGGCAAGGGAGTTGTGACAGCCCAGGGTGCATGGGCACCTGTGAACAGCTGTGTTAAGATCCCTTGTAGAGACTGCTCAGGTGGAAGTTCAGGTGTAGCAGGAGCTTGTGAGTGTGAAAGATGCTTTCTCTCCTTCTATAGAATTTCTGTACAGCCTGCAGTGGGGTTATGTCCTGGATTCGGTATTTCTACAGCAAGAAAATACACAGAAATAGGCGTAAAAATGGAGAAGTCCTCAGTAGTTTGATACTGCAGCCAGATTGCTGTTGGTAAACAGTCTGGTTCACTTAAGCTAGGTGGGACCCGCGTGCATTTGCGGCGCCCCTGCCT